TAAAAAAATAAAATAAATTAAAAAAAAGTTTAAAATAACTTTTTTATAAAAAGTATTTATATAAGTACTTTATTTAATAAAAAAATAAAGATATATTTCCTTTTTAGCATTAAGAAAAAGAAATATTATTATTTTTACTTTTTAAATTTAATAATATATATTAAGCCTTTTATATAAATAAAATAAAAAGTATATAAAAAGATAAATTATAAAATTTAAAATAAAATAAATATAAAAATATAAAGATTTTTTGAATTCTTTAAAATTCTTTTTATTTTTTAAAGAAGGAAGCTTTATTAATTATATATTATAAATTTTAAATTTCTTTTTTCTTTAAATCTCATTTCTTTGCCTAACTCTTAACATTAAAGCATTATAAATTAATAAACCTAATACCTTAAATATAGCACTAGCTTAAATTCTTAGCTAAGGTTTTTTCATAAAAAATATTTTTATATTATTTTTTAAATATAATTATTTAAAATTTAAAATTTAATAATATTATATAAATATTATTAATTTTTAAATAAAAAATAACTTATTATTTAAAATATTAAAAATAAAAATAAATTTATAAATAAATTAGTATTTATATAATTAATTAAATTATAATTATGTTATTAATATTTAATTAATTTTTAATATTAAAATATTTTTATTATTTTTATAAATTAAAATAATATTAAATTTTTATTATTTATTTATTAATTTTAATTTTATTATATATTTAATTATAATATTTTTAATTATTTTTATATATATTATAACTTTTAATGTAAGAAATAATATTTATATTAAAATTATTAAAATATTTAAAAAATTATATTTTTTTTTTTTTTATATTTTATTTTTTTATATAAATTAAATTATTAATAATATTTATTTTATTATTATTAAAAAAAATTTTATTAAGGAAATATTTAATAAATAAATTAAAAATAATTAAGTTAAAATATTAAATATAATTATTTTTATTAAAAAAGTTAAATTAATATATTTTTAAATATTAATATTAAAAGCTTTATATATAAATAAAATTTTTATATTAATATTTAATATTATTAAAAACTTAATATAAAATAAAGGCATTGCTTTTAAGTTAAATAATATTTTTAATTTTATAAAGTTTTTAAAGTTTATTAAAAAAAATTATTTTAAAACTTTATAATATAATAAGCTTTTTATTTTATAAATATTTATTATTATTTATATAATTATTTAATAAAAAATAACTTTAAAAATAAAAGTATTTTTATTAAAATAAATTTTAAATAATAATATTTAAATAATAAGTTTATTTAATTAAAAAACTTTTATTATTTAATTTATTAAAAAAAAAATTAAATATTTTAATAAAAAAGAAAAACTTATTATTTTAAGTTTTAATAAATTATATATTACTTTTTATATATATAATTTATATAATAAAATTAATTTAATTAATAAAATTTTAAATATTATTTAAATTATATTAATAAATAATATAAAAACTTATTTAAAAGAAAATTTAATATATAAGGTTAATAATTTGAAATTAATTATAATAAAAAAGAAAAAGAAAATAAAAAAAGTAAGTTTTAAAAAAATAAAATTTTTAAATTATATTAATTTTTTTTTAAAAAAAAAATTTAAATTTAATAATAATAATAATAATAATAATAATATAAATAAAGAAATAAGTTTAAATATATATTATTAATTTTTCTTTATATTATTAATTTTTAATTATTATTATTTAAATTAAAGTTATAAAATATAAATAAATGCTTTAAAATATAATTCTTACTTAATTATTTTTTAAAAAATATTTAAATCTTTAAAATTTTATATTATTATATATTAAAAAATTATTTATATTTTATTATATTTTTATATATTTAATTAAATATAATTATAATTTTATTATTAATAGTTTTATAAGCTTAAATATAATTATTTATAAAAATATTAAATATTAATTTATTATAAATAATAAGTTTATTTTTTATAAATTATTAAATATATTTTAAATTTATAAAATTTAATTTAAACTTAAATAAAATATATACTTTAAATAATATTTTTAAAATTTTTAAATAAATATAATAATTATTATTATATAAAAAAAATCTTTAATTTTAAAAAAGGTTAATTAAAAGTAATAAGCTTATTTTTTAAATAACTTTATAAGTTTAATTTAAACTTAAAGGTAATTTAAAAGCTTTTTTAATATAAATAATTCTTAATAAAGCTTATAAATAAAAATTATAATTTTATATATAATAATAAAAAATTAATATATTTAATATTATAAAAAACTTTTATTAAATTATATTATATATTATTAAATTAATTAAGAAAATTTTTTTTAAAATAATAAATTAAATATAATAATTATTTATTAAACTTTTTAAAAAATTTATTTTATCTTTTAAAATAAAAAGGTTTTTTAATTTATAAATTAATAATTATAATATTTTATAATTTTATAATATATTTAAAATATATAAGGAATTATAAATTTTTTACTTAATTATATTTAATTATTTATAAATAATTAAAAGATTTTTTAAAGTTATAAACTTTTATCTTTATTAATATTTAAAAAAGTATTTTTATAATATATTAAAAATATATAAATATTAATATAAAAGTTAAAAAAAAACCTTTATTAATTAAATAAATAATATATAACTTTATATAAATAATATATAAAGCCTTTATATTAATATTTTAATTAATAAAATTATTAAATAAATTAACTTTACCTTTAATAATTATAAATTTAATAAACTTAATATTAATATTCTTTATTAACTTTTAATAATAATAATAAAGGGTAATTTATTTAAGTTTAATAAAAACTTATATTATTAAAAGAAAGGCATTATTATAAATACTTTTTATATTTTTATATTTATTAATCTTTTTTTTAATTTTAAGAAATTAAAAAGTTAAATATTATTTATATTTATAAATAGCTTAAAGTTTTATATATAATATATTAATAATATTTTCTTTATTTATTAAAGCTTTAAATAAGCTTATAAAATATAATTATTAAATTTTACTTTATATTTTATGCTTTATATAATTTTATAAAATATTTATTTATTTTATTAAATAATATTATTTTTAAATATAATACTTTTTTTTAATAAAAGCTTAAATTTATAAAGATTTAATTTTAAGTTTATTATAAATAAATAAATAAAGATTAATATATTCTTTAATTCTTTACTTATTTTAATATAATAAAAATATACTTTTATTAAAGTAAAATTAATTTACTTTATAATAATTAACTTTAATAAAAACCTTTTTAAAAAAAAATTAAAAAGTTTATTAAAATATTAAAATAATGTAAATATTTATTTAATATATTATAATAATAATAAAAATTAATTTATTATAAAAATTAATTAATTATTTTCTTTATATAAAAAAATATTAATTAAAAACTTCTTTTAATAATATTATTATTATATAATAAAATATAAAAATATATTAATATATTAAGCATTTTTTAAATAATATAATAAACTTAAAAATAAATTAAACTTTTTCTTAACTTATTTATAAAATCTTTTATAAAGTTATTAAAATAAATAAAAAACCTTTTTAATAAAGTTTTTATTTAAAATAAAGTAGTTTTAAAAATAATACCTTTTAATTTAAAGCTTATTTAATTTAAAAGAAATTTATTAAAAAGTAAATAAAATATTTAAATATTTCCTTAAACTTTATTTTTAAATTAAGTAAGGAAAAAGTCTTAATTTATAGTAAACCGCTTTTTTTAATATACTTTAATTTATACCTTTATTATATTTACATTAAATATTTATTTATTAATAATTTATAATAAATTATTAATTTTCCTTATTAATAAACTTTTCTTTATAAAAAAATAAATAAAAAATAATAATATAATATATTAAAATTATTTAAGATTTAAGCTTATCTTTATTTTTTTTTCTTAACCTTAACTTAATATACTTAGTTTTTTAATAAACTTAATACTTTAAATATAACGCTAACTTAAATTTTTAATTAAGGTTTTTTTATAAAAAATGCTTTTATATTATTTTTTAAATATAATTACTTAAACCTTAAGGCTTAATAACATTATATAAGCATTATTAACTCTTAAATAAAAAATAATTCGCTATTTATAATATTAAAAATAAAAATAAGCTTATAAATAAATTAATATTTATATAATTAATTAATAATGCTTAAAAATTATTTTCTTTATTAAATTATAATTATATTATTAACATTTAATTAATTAATAATTATATAATATTTTTATTATTACTTAATTTTTTAACCTTTAAATATTTAATTAAATCTTAAAAAAAGGCTAAAATATTTAATAATTCTTTAATAAGATAAATAATTTTTAATAAGCTATTAATAATAAAATACCTTTATTATTTTTATAAATTAAAAATAATATTAAACTTTTATTACTTATTAGCTTTTTTTTAATTCCTTATATAAATTATTTATTTATTAACCTTAATAAAATAAATGCCTTATTACTTGGCCGCTAGTTTTTTAGCATTAAATACATGTAAATAGCATATAGGCGTTAAGATGAGCTGCAAATGTAACCCTAAGTCCAGGTGCCTTTGCAGCTCCAACCTTGCGTCCCAGAAATGCGCTCTCATGCACATGCAACTTTAAACCAATCAACTAAATTTCAAAGTTTAAGGCTGAATGAGTTAAATAAGTTTATAAATATGCCATTGAATTGCTTATGAGAGTACATGAGGCCATAGATACAGGAAAATAGGGGATCCCGTCCGCTTCCCATGTGAAATTGCACGGGTTGTGTGTTTTGTGCTCAACCAACTTACTCGGTTAGCTTTGGGGTGCAGATGGCACATGGTTTTAAAGGCTTGCTATCTCCGCCGTCTATTTAACCTAATTAGTAACTAATCAAATTCAACACAGGTGTAGCATTTGCAACGAAGCTCGACTTTGCGCCTTTCCTTGAGCACGGCTGGCCTGGCCAGATGTCCTGCCTTGTTCTCGGGCCCTACGACGACAGCTGCTCGCTAAATGCTCCTGCTTGTGCCGATGCAGTATGGCGGCCCACGCCGGCAGCCAGCTGAGGATGTCACGGGCAGATGAACGGGTCCGTGGACCCGAGGCTGATCGGCGCCGGCGGCTGGATCTGGACGGCACATCTCGACAGCCGTTTGACGGAACGCTACGGATACACCGTTGATGGGAGCTCGAGCGCCGAGGGTCCAGGCCAGAGCAGCCAAGGCTGACGGCTGTAGGGCTGGGGCTGGGGCGGTTGGGCCTGTGCACACCCCTGCACGGCCATCACTCATTATCGATAAGCCCGTCCTGCCCGGCAGCTCCAGCCCAGAGGGCCCTCCAGAGCTCTCTTTCCTTCCTTTCTCTCTTAGGCCACCTCGATTCTATTCTTTAAATCCACATAATCTGGTGCACATTTCGAGCCTCCGTGCCGTGAAGCCCAAGTGACGTCTCAGCCGTGGGTTTAGGGTTGACCTGCGCCTCCTCGCGTTGCCTCTCGTCGCCCTCCATGCAGGCATGTAGGAGCTTTGGATTCTTTCTTCTTCCTGCACGGCTCCGGGCTGCGCTAAAGTTCAATAGAGCGTGTCGAGGACATCGACTAAGGTCACCCGTCGACCGGCAGTCCGTGATCCGCCTTATAGGTATCCCAATGGGCCTCGGCTCTCTCGCCAACGGGCCCAGGCTCGCGGGACCATGTGCCTGGACCGTAAACCTCTCGGGCCCAGGCTCGCGGGTCCATGTGTCTGGACCGTGGACCGTTGAGCGCCTTGTCCGGCCCTACTGTTAGCTCGAGCCCGGCAGGGACAAGCCCGAGGAAGACAAAGAACCATAGTCCTAAAGAACGAACGATCTAGTTGGACGATATGCGGTGTCCCCGGATTCGAGTTTTGGGCTACAGAACCACATTCCGAAGGACCCAACGATGTGGTTCGACGACATGTGGCGTCCCCGGATTCTTAGTTATAGTCCGAGCCAAGAGAACTTCTATATCAAGGTCGTGACGCTCCCCCCATATCGACGAGACTTTTCCCATCATCCTCAAGAACATCATCTTCCTCAACAGCCCCAATTCTCACTCTTTTGGAGCCTCGCCTTCCTCTTCTCGTCTTCTCTTCTTCTCCACTCATTAGGAGGCACACGTCGATATTTCAACGCTTCAACACTTCACAATGCATCACCAGTTGTTTAATGCTCTGGTGGGCATGGCAGGCATTGCCTCCGCCGCGACCATTCCCCAGTCAGCCTCTGGCACCAGCACGGCATCCGGCATCAGCACGGCATCCGGCATCAGCACGGCATCTGGCAGCAGCACGGCCTCTGGCAGCAGCACGGCCTCTGGCAGCAGCAGCGCTGCCTCTGGCACCAGCACGGCCTCCGCCGCCGGAGCTATCACCAAGATCGACAACAAGGTCCTGATCCTGGCTCGTGACGCCGATGGAGCCAGCTCGGCCTCTGCCGGCCTTTCCGGCTATGGCATTCCCTTCGAGCCTGTTCTCATTCCCAAGGAGGGCGGCGCTATCCCCACGCTCAATGCCACCGCAACCGAGGGCAAGTACTCGGGGATCATCGTCATCGATGCCCTCGCCTACGACTACGGCGCCGATGGCTGGCGGTCGGCCGTGACCACCGACCAGTGGAACACGCTATGGGCATACCAGGCCAGCTTCAAGGTCCGCATGGTCCGCATCAACGAGTTCCCGGGCCCGTCCTTTGGTGCGGGCCTCGCCGGTGCTGGCGGCTGCTGCGATACCGGCGTCGAGCAGCTCATCAGCTTCACCAACACGACCCTCTTCCCCACTGCTAATCTCAAGACGTAAGTGCCTGCTTCTCTGTATATATAGATCTAGATACATGTCTAACACCTTGGCAGCAACGCCGGCATTACCAGCCAGGGTCTGTGGCACTACCCGGCCGTCATCACCGACCCCTCGACCACGACGCAGGTTGCCAAGTTCGGCCCTGGCGGCAGCTACACTTCCGACTCGGTTGCTGCTGTCGTCAACAAGTTCCCCGGCGGCCGTGAGCAGTTTGTCTGGTTTACCAGCTGGGCGCCCTCGTGGTCGGCCACGTCCAACTACCTCCAGCACGCCCACATCCACTGGATGACTCGCGGCATCTTCCTGGGCAAGCGCAAGACGCACGTGAGCGCCCAGGTCGACGATGTCCAGCTCAAGACCAACATGTACTATCCCGCCGGTGCCTCGTACAAGATCACGACGGCCGACCTCGATGCCCACATCACCTGGATGACTGACCTCAACAAACGGCTGCCCGCCGGCTCCAACTTCAAGGTCGAGCTCGGCCACAACGGCAACGGAGACATCGAGAACGCCACCGCCGTCGACAACACCGCCTGCGTTCCCAACTACGCCGTCGAGTACGACGATGCCGCCGCCACGACGCTCGAGTACCAGAAGCCCCTTGGTTCCGGCGCTGACCGCTGGCCCACCGAGTTTACTACCTACCCTTGGTCCCTTACCTGCGCCCAGCGCGACTCCTTCGCCAAGTGGTTCGGCACGCCCGCCAAGCTCAACGCCTTCATGCACATGTCGCACACTTTCTCGCACATGGAGCTCAACAATGCCACGTACAACGACGCCAAGCGCGAGATCCAGTTCAACCAGGCCTGGATGAAGCAGCTCGGCATCGCCGGGGCCACCTCCTTCTCGCCCAAAGGGCCTCATTCCTCCCGCCATCACCGGAATGCACAACGGCGACGTCATCAAGGCCTGGATGGACTCTGGCCTGACCAGCGTTGTTGGCGACAACACCCGCCCCGTCCTAAGGAACTCTCAGAGCAAGTACTACCCGCTCACCTCGACTGTTGCTAGCAACGGCTACGACGGCCTGACCATTGTCCCCCGGTACTCTACAACTATTTACTACAACTGCGATACCCCTGAGTGCACCACCAAGGAGTGGATCGACACGTCCGCCGGCAAGGGCAACTTCACCGACCTGCTCGCACTCACAAAGGCCGACAATACCCGCTACCTCTTCGGCCTGCAATCCGACCCCTACATGTTCCACCAGGCCAACATGAGGTCGGCTGACATGCCCTCCATGACCATCGGCTCCCAGACGGGCCAGATGTCCCTCCTCATGGCCTGGACCGAGACCATCACCCAGGAGATGACCCGCCTCACCAACTGGCCCATGATCTCCCTCAAGCACGACGACATCGCCCAGTACTTCCTCGACCGCCAGGCCCTCGACAATTGTCAGCCCGCCCTGTCTTACGGCTTTGCCTCCGACGGCGCCACCGTCACCTCCGTTACCGTCAGCACCAACGGCAATTCCTGTTCCGTGCCCGTGCCCGTCACCATCCCTGACGGCACCACCACGGCCACCGGTGGCTCCGTCACCGACGACAAGGTCGGCTCCGAGCCCCCCATCCAGTGGGTCACCCTTAAGGGCCAGCCCGTCACCCTTAAGCTCTCCGCCGGCGTCAAGGTCTAGATGGCTTGCATCGGGGCGCGTGGATGCGTCTGCATGAGAATTAGACATCGAAATGAGTCTGTTCTTATCTTTTTTCTTGCTTCCTTGGCGTAGTCGTTGGTATTGAATTTTTTTTCTAAGGAGGAAGGGTTAGTCTTTAATGCTATAATGATTTATTTTAACAAAGAATTACTTAAAAATAGTGTAGTGTCAATACAAAGTGGTTAAATCAGTAAAGGGCATATAAAGTATTAATTATTGTAGCAGTTTGAAACACACTATGAGCTGGTGATGGCAAAGTTGGAATAGCAGGTGCGCTCTGGTTAGCTAAAGCGGGCGGACATGCTGGTGCATCCTCCGTTTTTACCGGTGCGAATCTCCGCATTCAAAAGAAGCATGGCAAAACCCGGTATCTTGCATCTTGGCCTGGCTTTGACGGAAACACTGGTCGACTTAATATCATCTACTTAACCCGGGGCTCCGGTCGGTTCGAGTCCAGCTCGCCCAAGGCACCCCGTTGCTGGTAAGCGCTGTGGTTCTCATCTCGTAGGGTGTCTCTTCCCTCCCCGAACTCCTGACTTTACACACATCTTTCCATTCAGCCTCGACTCAAACCCCGAGAAATGCCCGCTCCTCTGTGGGCAGAGACTGCCAGGAATCAGCAGCTTAAGGGGGCTGCATTTCGCTTAAACCACATGGACATGTCAACTATGTGATGCACGGCAGCATACAAGGAGCACGTCGAAATCTTCAGCAGTAGGCGATGACGACTTTTAATGGATATTCAATACGAAAAGAGTAGGAAGGAGAATATTATAATGCTGCCATGCTGGCATTTAAGTATTATATGCATGCAATGCATATACGCGCATTGCTAACTACGTTGCCCAGCCTATTAATGCAAATAAGCTTTCTGCTATTCCTAAATATAAACAATGGGATAATAATTAAATTAATTAAAACAGCCTACTTTATTATCTTAACGCTATATTTTTCCGCTCTTACTTACATTAAACCTTATAATTATTTATAATTCTTATATTTAATTTTAATTTATTATAATATTAATAATTTTTTAATAAATTTATAATATATTTATTATATATTTATTACATATTTATTATATATTTATTATATATATTTATTATATATTTATTATATATTTATTATATATTTATTATATATTTATTATATATTTATTATATATTTATTATTATATATTTATTATATATTTATTATATATTTATTATATATTTATATATATATTTATTATTAATTAAATTTAATATATTATTTTAAATAAAGTAAATATTATAAGTTTAAATTTTTATTTATTTTATTTTTTTAATTATTATTAAATTATTAAATCTTTAAAATATTTTATAAGTTAAGTTATTAAAGGAAATAACTTTATTTTTTAATTAATAATATTTTTATAAATAATATATATTTTATTATAATTATTTTATTTTAAACTTTTTATTTTAATTAATAATAATAAAAATTTATATAACGTAATTTATTAATAAGTAACGCATATTAATAAGTAATGTATTTTTATAACTTTTATTAACTTTAATTAACCTTAATATTTACTTAATGCAAATAATTTAATTAAATTTAGCATTAATTAATATTAATTATAATTAAATTTTTATTTTTAATTAATTTTATTAATTTAAAGGCATTAATATAATTATAATATTAATTTAAATTAATTAACCTTTAATAAAAAATATATATTTAGCATTAATTAATATTAATTATATTATTAAAAAATATAATTCGTTATAAATTAATAAAATAATTATATTTATATTAATATTATAATTTAAACTTTACTTATTATAATTAATTAATAAGTTTTAACTTTATAAAAATAAGCTTTAATATAAATATAAATAAAAAATAAACCTTTTTCTTTATACTTTAAATATAAACCTTATTTAAATACTTTATAATAAATAATTTAAAATTAGCTTATAATATATATTTAAAGTCTTTTTATATTATAAACTTATAATATAATTATATAAAACTTAATATAATACTTAAAAAAAATAATAATAGCTTATTAAGCCCTTTTTTTTTAAAAAAACTTTTATTTTAAGAATACTTAATAACTTAATTAATAAAAATAAAGGCTAAGTTTATAATAAATAAGAAAATAATTAATATTAAAAAAACTTAATTCTTTTATATATTTAATTAACTAAGAACTTTTTATAATTAATTTTTACTTTATATTAACTTTATAAAGATATTTAAAAAGTAATTAAAAAGCTTTTTAAAAAGAATTTACTTTATACTTAAAAACTTTTTTAAATAAAGATATATTAAGCTTAACTTAATTATATTATAATAATATTATAAAAAGGAAATAATAAAATTTTTTATTTAATTTAATTAATTAACTTATATAATAAAGACTTAAAATTAATTAAATAAATATAAAATATTATTAATAATTAATAGTTTAATTTTTATAATAAAAGCTTAACTTAATTATAAAAAATAATTAAATATATTTAAAGCTTTTTACTTTAATTTATAATAATATAAGAGTATTTTTAATATTATAAAAAAAAAATAATACTTAATTTTAAAATAATAAAGTAATAAATATTAATATTATAATAATTTTAATAAATAAAGTTAAGTATTTTATATATAATTAATTTAATTATTATAAGTATAATTATTTTAATTATTATAAAAAAATAAAAATATAGCTTTTATTAATTAAGATTAATAAGGAAAAAGAGTTTATTTAAGGAAATATAAAAGTTTTTTATAAAATAAAGCTTAAAAATAATATTAATTTAATATTAATTTAAGCTTAAAGTAAATTAATTATATATTAATTAATTTAATATTATAAAAATGCTTAAAATTTAAGAAATTTTTATTAATAAAATAAATTACTTATAATTAAGCATTAATTAATTATAAATTATATAATAAATTTATAATTTTAAAATTTTAAATAAAAAAGCTTATATAAAAGGCTTATATTAAAAAATTATAAAAATATTATTAATTTAATTATTAATTTATATTTAAATAATTATTTTTATTAACTTATTTTAATTAATATATTAAATTATAAAAATTAAAATATATTAATTATAAATAATAAGTTAAGCTTTTAATATAATTAAAAAATATTAAAATATAATTAAATAATTAAATAAAAAGTAATATTTAATTTATAATTAAATTATAATATTTTTTATTTTTTATTATATAATTATTTTTTAAAATTTATTATAAAAACTTAAAAAAAAAAAGAATATATTATAATTTAAGCTTTATTTATTATAATTAATTAATAAGCTTTAGCTTTATAAAAATAAGCTTTAATATAAATATAAATAAATATTATAAGCTAATCTTAAATTATTTATTATAAGGTATTTAAATAAAGTTTATATTTAAAGTATAAAAAAAGATTTACTTTTTATTTATATTTATATTAAAGCTTATTTTTATAAAGCTAAAGCTTATTAATTAATTATAATAAATAAAGCTTAAATTATAATATATTCTTTTTTTTTTAAGTTTTTATAATAAATTTTAAAAAATAATTATATAATAAAAAATAAAAAATATTATAATTTAATTATAAATTAAATATTATTATTTTATTTAATTATTTAATTATATTTTAATATTTTTTAATTATATTAAAAGCTTAACTTATTATTTATAATTAATATATTTTAATTTTTATAATTTAATATATTAATTAAAATAAGTTAATAAAAAATAATTATTTAAATATAAATTAATAATTAAATAATAATATTTTTAAATTTTTTAATATAAGCCTTTTATATAAGCTTTTTTATTTAAAATTTTAAAATTATAAATTTATTATATAATTTATAATTAATTAATATTTAATTATAAATAATTTATTTTATTAATAAGAATTTTTTAAATTTTAAGCATTTTTATAATATTAAATTAATTAATATATAATTAATTTACTTTAAGCTTAAGTTAATATTAAGTTAATATTACTTTTAAGGCTTATTTTATAAAAAAAAATTTTATACCCCTTTAAATAAACTCTTTTTCCTTATTAATCTTAATTAATAAAAATTATATTTTTATTTTCTTATAATAATTAAAATAATTATACTTATAATAATTAAATTAATTATATATAAAATATTTAACTTTATTTATTAAAATTATTATAATATTAATATTTATTACTTTATTATTTTAAAATTAAGTATTATTTTTCCTTATTATAATATTAAAAATATCTTTATATTATTATAAAGTAAAATAAAAAGCTTTAAATATATTTAGCTATTCTTTATAATTAAGTTAAGCTTTTATTATAAAGATTAAATTATTAATTATTAATAATATTTTATATTTATTTAATTAATATTAAATCTTTATTATATAAGTTAATTAATTAAATTAAGTAAGAAATTTTATTATTTTTTTCTTATAGCATTATTATAATATAATTAAGCTAAGCTTAATATATCTTTATTTAAAAAAATCCTTAAATATAAAGTAAATCTTTTTTAAAAAGCTTTTTAATTACCCCTTAAATATCTTTATAAAATTAATATAAAGTAAAAATTAATTATAAAAAGTTTTTAATTAATTAAATATATAAAACAATTAAGCTTTTTTAATATTAATTACCTTTTTATTTATTATAAATTTAACCCTTATCTTTATTAATTAAATTACTAAGTATTCTTAAAATAAAAATTTCTTTAAATAAAAAAAAACTTAATAAGTTATTATTATTTTTTTTAAGTCTTATTATATTAAGTTTTATATAATTATATTATAAGTTTATAATATAAACAAATTTTAAATATATATTATAAGCTAACTTTAAGTTATTAATTATAAAGTATTTAAATAAGGTTTATATTTAAAGTATAAAGAATAAGATTTACACTTTATTTATACTTACGCCAAAGCCTATTCTTATAAAGCTAAAGCCTACTAATTAATTATAATAAGCAAAGCCCAAACCGTAATAATAAAGAGTAAACCTTCTTCTTTGCACTTTAAATATAAACTTTATTTAAATACCTTACGGCAGATAATCTAAGGCTAGCCCATAATAATTAATTAATATTAATTAAGCTAAATTTATTATAATATAATTAAAATTTAATTAATTAAACTTTTCTTTATTTTTCTTATAAGTTTTTATATTATGCTTAATCTTATTAAAATTATTATAACGTTTTTTAATTAATTTATTATAAATTAATTCTTATATCTTATTATTTATTTTATTAATTAATTACTTTGCCTTTTATTTTTATTTAAAATAAAAGCTTAAAATTCCTTAATTATAAATACTTTTTTAAGCTATACTTAGGTTTTTTTAACCCTTTAATATTTAATAAGTATTATATTAATATTTTAAAGCATATAAATTTGCTTATTTATTATAATAAGTAAATGCCTTATTATTTATATATTTTTTATTAATTAATTAATAACTTTTATAATTAATATAATAAAGCTCCCTTAATAAATAAAGATTTTACTTTTAATAAAACTTAATTATTAAATAATTTATTAATTATTTAATAATATTTAAAACTTTTATTTTTAAAGAAAAATAAGGAAGAATTATATTAAAGTTTATAAGTATATATTAAGTTTAAAAATTATTAAATTAAAATTTTAAGGAAACACTTTAGCTTTTTTAAATATAAACTTAATTATTTTTATTATTAAAGTTTTATTATAAGCTACTTTAAATATAAGAAAAAACTTAAGTTTAATAATATAATTAATTAAAGCTTAAATAAAGAAATTAATTTTATTATAATATATATATATTTTAAAAAAAATAAATATAATATAATATTTAATAATTAAAGTAAATAAAATAAATTTAATAATATATTAATAATAATAATTTTATTATTTTTATAATATTAATTAAATTTAATTAATATATAGCTTTTATAATTATTTATAATTAATATTTAATAATTAATATTTTTCTTTACCTTAATATATGTATTAAAAATAAGCTTAATATTTTAATTAATAATATAATAAATACTTTAAATAATTATAAGTAATAAACTTTATAATTTATTTATATAAATATATTTAATAATTATTATTAATAATTTAATATTTAATTATTATATTATAAAATAATTAAAATTAATTTTTAATAATTATAAAAATAATTAAACTTATTAATTAATTTTAATTATATTAAATTATTATTATATATATAATATTTATTATATATATAATATTTATTATATAATATATAATTCTTTTATTTATTATATATATTATAAAAAACTATATTTAAGGTTAAATAAAATTTAATATTCCTTTTTTCTTTATAATTAAAAGCTTTTTTTCTTTTTTTTATGCTTAATTAATAATAAATTAAATCTTACCCTTTTTCCTTATTACTTTTATCTCTTATAACTTTCCCTTTAATATAAGCCGTTTTTTAAAAATAAGATTTTATAATTATTTTAATAAATAATTATTAATTCTTTATTAAAAGGGCTATAATAACTTTAATATTATATAATAAAGCTGCCTTTATTATTATTAAGCCTTTTTATAAATTAATTAAAAGTTATATTAAAGCCTTTTAATTTATTAATTTAGCTTTTTTTACCCCTTATAATAAAGCATTTAATGCTTTTATATTAATGTATATTAATTTATAGCTTATTATTTATTAACTTTAATAAGGTTTTTTTATTATTTTATATATAGCTTTTTAATTAATAAGGCTGCAAGGAATTAATATAATTAAAGGGAAAATTCTTAAAAAAGGTTTAATAATTATAATAAGGTTTAAACTTATGCTCTTTATAAAGAAAAGTTAAATATATAATTAATATATTAAATAGCTAATAATTAAACTTAATTTTTAAATTAAGTTATAAATTTATAAAATATTAAGCTTAATATTTATTAATAAGTTTAATATTTTATAATATTAATAATTAGTTAATTTTATTTTTTATATTAAAAATTTATATAAAAAATCCTTAAATATTTTAATTAATAATATATTAAATAAATACTTACTTTTAAATTAAATTAAGTTTATATTTATTAATATATAATTTATTATAATAATTTTAATTTTAAAACATAAAAGATTTATATTATTAAAAGAATATTAAATGGTTTTATATTATATTTCTTAAATTTATTAATTATTTAAATAATTAAAAGAATTTTATTTTCTTTTTAAATTAAATATATATTATAATTATTAATATTTAATGCATTAAATATTTAATAAATAAATTAAAGTAAATTTAATATTAAAAAAGGTTATTTTAAATAAACTTTAATAATTTTTAATTATATTATATTATTATTAACCTTTTTAAATTAATAAAATTAATTATAATTAATATTAATTAATATTAAATTTAATTAATTTCTTTATATTAAATAAATATTAAGCTTAATTAAAGTTAAGCAAAATTAAAAACATCGGCTATTTATTAATATTAATTATTTATTAATAAATTATATTATTATAATTTAATAATTATTTTTTAAAAAGAAATAATAAATTTAATAAAAAAATTAAAAGTTAATAATATTTTTATAAGAAAATTAAATATTTAAAGATAAGTTAATAATTATAATACTTTAAAAAAAAGCTTAATGTAATTTTAAACTTTATATTTATTAAATTTAAATATATATATAAGGCATAAATTAATATTAATATAATTAAAAATAATTTAATAAAATTAAAAAACTTTAAAATTATTATTAATATAATAAAATATATTATTATAAGTAATAATTATTTTTTAAAATAATTTTAATTAAAGGAATAATATAATATAAAAGATAAATTTAATAAGTTAAATATAAATTATTTAACTTAATAAATTTAATTTAAATTATATATTTTTAAATTTAAATATTAAATATTATATATTTAATATATATATATAAGTATATTATATTAATATATAATATGTTTATATTATATATAAATTTAAATAATAAGTATTATAAATATATTAAAAATAATATATTTTTTATAATGTTTTTTTTGCTTTTTAAATATTTATATCTTTTATATTAATATAATAATAAATATAATAAAATTAAATTTAAATTATTTAAAGTTTTAAAATTCTTTTTTAAATTCTATATAATTATTTATATATTAAAAAAAGTTTTATTATTATAATTTATATTATGCTTAATAAATGTATAATTATATAAGTTTTATTAATATATATATATATATATATATATATATATAAACCTTTAATTTTAATTTTTAAATATAATATTTTAATAACCTTTTATATATTATAATATATTTTTATATATCTTTTTATTATTATAAAATAATAAATTATTTAATGCTTTATATTATTGCTAATAATAATTTTAAACTATATTATTAACTTAATTTATAGCTTTTTAATTAATTAACTCGCTTTTCTTTAAGATTAAGATAATATTATTTTAAATTCCTTTTTAAAAATCTTTTTATATAAGCAAACATTATTTTAATTAATAATAGGCATTAATATAATCACTTGAATTCCCATTATAAACCTATAAGCTTGAGCTAAATAAGCTTATAACGTGATAAGGTTGCATATTAAGCGTGTTATCTCGCGTAGAGAAGAATGCTTTATAATGGCGAGAGGAAGGTTGATACCCTTAGCATATTTAAGCACGTCTTAGTTACCCCAACTAAAAACAATTTAAAGATGGTAAGCTGAAATAACAGCTCACAGGCATTAATAAAGATGTACGTTTAAAAGGGTATTTACTCCATGAGACCGACACATGGATAGACCCCAATGCACCCGCAGCGGAAGTCCATGTATTCTTCTACCGTAGGATGATACGCCACGGTCTGCATACCGACTTGGCGCAGGACGCCGGCTTGTGTCCCTATTGGACGCGTCGCCCTTGAGGGTGGTGGCCTAATGTATCTCGACCGATCCATGGATTTCGGAATGACCACCGAAGAGGACTTCGCTCGTAACGCTGAAAATCGCAGGGACGAGGAGCGCGTTTCAGCCTTCAACAAAAACATTAACGACGGCGGCTTCCTTAAGCAGAGACACGGTGAAGTACGGCAAGGAGGTCAAGAGGAAGTGGCTCATTACTGAGTACGAAGTTGGAGATGTCATTTTCCATAATCCATTCATGGTTCACGCGAGTTGCAAGAATATGGACCCAGAGAATCGCATCCGCTTGGCCACTGATCTCCGGTTTGTTAACCCAAAGAAGCCGTATGACGAGCGCTGGATGAAGGTGTACAGACCTCTTGATGGATTGTAACTGCACCTAACCAGATAGATCGATTTACTAACTCCACAAGTGAGATATTTCCCCCTTCCCCTGCAAGACTCGCACATGTAGAAACTACTACTAGTATTGTTAATAATTGCAGTGACAGCATTCATGAGGACATCAATGCCTGGACCAGGAGACCCAGGTTAGAGTTGCTAAAAGCCAAGAACATTTAGATATCGATAGCGACTCCCTGGGGCTGTGTATTTAGTGTATGGTCCTTTTGTCACCACTCTCGATGGTAGTGTCGATGGCTTCGTACGCATCGTCTACATGCTTAAGATTAGAATGTGACTTCGGTCTAGCAGAAGCTCCCTTGAACCACATGCACGTCTCCTGCTATCTTGTAAGCCCATCACTTCAATGTGGAACTCCCCCAGCTGTGGTCAGCCATGTCCAAGTATTAAGAAGCTCTATGGCTCCTCAAATTTTCTCCTTCCTGCATAGCATGACCTCCTATGAAGTTATAGAGGATGCTCAACCCTAAGAGACACCTAACATGAAAACCATGTTGTCTGGCCGTTTACAGCCGACAGATCCCTCGCCCTGCTTGCCGAGAATGTCCCCAGGAATGGGACTGTTACGGCACAAGAAAGCCTATTGCGCCAAAACACCACAAAAGAGGGACGTTGTAATGCCGAGAACATTACCGTGGCTATCACCTATATGCGTACTGTAACAGGGACGCTCCCAACCCTGTTTACCTGTCACCGGATGTGTGCCGTGGTGCGGTTTACCCCAGATTCCCCCACAGATGCCCCGGACGCCAAGCCTCCTAGCCATTGGATTGTGGGGAATCCGGGGTAGCCTATGCCACGAGAACTCACGTTTAGCTCTAAGAGACATCTAAATGCTCTCGCTTTTAATTTATAAATATTTGTTTCTTAAGTAATATGCATTTAATCCTTTTAAATAATAATAAATACTTAAATATTTAAGGTTAAAAAATAATAGCATTAAAGAATAATATAATATTAATAATAATAACCTTATAATAATTATATAAAGTAAAATTATTAATATAAATTATCACGATTTTACTGCTAGTAAATAGCCCGCTCGGCTAAAAGACCAGTAATTTTTAATCCCTTAGAAATATACCTAGCAATATATAAGTATTATAAAGCCATACCGTTATATTACCCCCTTTAAGGCCCTTATAAAGCTTTTAAATGTCATTAAAGCGGGTATGCGCACTTATAAGTAGCTTAAAACTTAAATAACACGGATTTAACTTACCTATAATCTTCTGCTTAGGCACTTATTATAGGACCTTTGCGGTAGCTGCAAATCCATTTAAAAGAGTTTTTAACCAGGGGGCTTAAACCTTAGCCGTGTAATTAGAAATTGTTATGATTTTACTGCTAATAAATAAACTGCTTAGCCAAAAGACTAGTAATTTTCAATCCCTTGGAAATACACCTAGCAGTATATAAATATTACGGAGCCATACCGTTATATAAATAACTTAAAATTAATTTATTATAATACTTTTAATTTAAAGTTAAGAAATTAATTAAATAATAAAAATTTAAATAAATTAACTTTAAAACAACCTTTTATATTATATTAATATTATATTATATTAACTTAATAAAGTAAATATTATAATAAAAAGGCGTTTTTTAACTCTTTCCGCTAATAATATTACTTTTAAAAATTTCTTTTTTAAGCTTAAAGTTTTATAATTAGCAAAATATAATGCTATAATATAAAGTTTAAATTATATATATAGCTTATAATTAAGAAAATAATAATAACCTTATTTTTTTTAAATGTTAAATATTTAAGCGTTTATTATTATATAAAGAATGAAATATATATTGCTTAAGAAGCATATATGTGTAAATTAAAGACGAGACCACCTTAGAGCATGTATCAAGGAAGCTTGTTATTTGAAAACGCACATATAGAGATGTTTAAAGGATTGAATAAGCTTGCATGTGTTGTACCTCCTAATCTTAATGAAACGCAAACCAAAAAGTCTTGGTCCAACACCAAGAATTTGTCGTTGACCTGCATTTAAAATTGATAAGTAGGCATTGATAAAATGGTTATTTTCCATTCGTTAGGTCCAGCGAAATTCTGGCCGCTCGCTGGATTGTCTCCAGAGGATGTATCCTCCTCGTCCTTATACCCGAACTCGGGGCGAGTCAATGGAGCCAGCGTGTTATATCTAGCTACCCCGGTGTGTATCTTGCGTCGATATGTGTGGGTATGCCCTGGGAGAAGAGAATGATGTATCGTGGTTGCAACGATCTACAAAAGGGTACGGGACGGAAAGCCACAATGGCAAGACCGCCCAGACCGCGACGTCAAACTCATACCTAGGCGAGCCCGCTGCTAGAATGCGTTGTTACCCCGGGAATCAAAGACTTGGCTTTGCTTTGCACGCGATCTCTGAGCCTATCACCTAGTCTTTCCCTGCGCACAACCTGGTCAGTTTCTCGAACCAATCTTCACTGCTTGGACATTTGCTTCGTGCAGCTTACGGTAGGACCTTTACATGCGCATGTAGAATCTATGATACAAATTTACACGGAGTCATCGTCTCTTAAAGCACCACCACATCTATCACTCTCGTGGACTAGATATCTCCCGCCCGAATGTATTCCTTCTCTACTTCTACCGTTGCCGCCGCCTCGTCAGGGCACTTCACCAACCCCATCGAGCGAAGCTTCTCTAATTCTCATTTCGTCTCTCCAGACCAATAGAAACTACTGGAGTCGGTACGATGTAATTCGCATGGACGAGAAATCCGACGATGTCAAAAGTTGCGATCCCAAGGTGTATTTATAGCTATAGAAAAGGCATAAAGCCGCATAATTACATGGTTCTACAGAGGCTAGGGCCGACAGCTTCACGGCGGTCTGGCTGTCCTGTTGCTGTCGAAATACAGATACTCCGACAGCCACTCATTTAGTACCAAACAAGCAGCCAACCGACTAGTAACTATGCTGCGTTCACCCCTCGCATGAGCCCGGTGTTGGGAAAGCCTAACTGCTATAGCTGCTTGGACGAACACGGAAGGTCCAACATGGTTCCTAGCCTCATCGCAAGTTCTTTCCGGAAAACAGCTCGCAAGGGCAGGTGGTCCGGGAGATATTTGCACTTTGCAACCTCTCAGCGGAGTGATATCAGCCAACGCAAAATTTTCCGCCACCTCGCGAATGTTATCTCCACTGTTGGCCGGCCCATTCGGGGTGGAATTTCATTCCCCTTGATAGCCGCCTCATATTCGCAGACACTGTCTCGCACGTCGTAGGTCGTCTGGGCGTGGAGATGAGCATGGGTTCTCAGCAAGTGGGCAATGTTGCCTCGCCGATGGAAATAGTCGTCGACGGTTTTCGTCATAAAACGCTCAACGTAGATGACTTCAAGTGCCCAGGCTCGGTAGTCGGGACTTCGCCTCAGTTCGTCCGTGAGCCACGGCTCAAGTCCCCTGGGCTTGAACGCGTCATCATCTAAGGCCTTGACTTGGTACTCTACTTCGCTCAGGTAGCCAAAGTAGTTGGGGCCCTTCTCTTTGCGCAATTCGGGCGTAACTCCATCCTCGATCTTGTCCAAGACCTCCCGTCTTTGCTTGAGAGCGGTGGGCGCCGCCGTGCAAGGTTGTTTCCCAGGTGCGTGCTTGTACTTTTCCGTATTAGGCGGAGGCCTTGCAATGCTGGTGGTTGGCGCCGGTTCCGAGGTCTTGGTCGGCGGCGCAGTACTGGTTACGGTTAGGGTTGCCGGCTGCCCAGTTGAGCTCGACAGAGAAGTTGAGCTCGACAGAGAGGTTGAGCTCGACAGAGAAGTTGAGCTCGACAGAAAGGTTGAGCTCGACAGAGAAGTTGAGCTCGACAGAGAGGTTGAGCTCGACAGAGAGGTTGAGCTCGACAGAGAAGTTGAGCTCGACAGAGAGGTTGAGGTAGGGAGTGGGAATGAGGTCGACAGCATAGATGAGGTCGGCAGCAAAGATGTTGTCGGCAGGAAAGATGTTGTCGGCACCACAGTTGAGTTTGCCAGAGAGGTCGTGGTCGACAGGAAGGTTGAGTTATGGAATGTGGAGGTGGGCAGGGCAGTTGAGTTTAACCAGCGGGTCGTGGTCGACAGGAAGGTTGAGTTATGGAATATGGAGGTGGGCAGGGCAGTTGAGTTTAACCAGCGGGTCGTGGTAGGCAATGCGGATGAGGTACCGTTGGTACCGTTGGTTCCGTTTCCGTTGCCAAAGTCGGGCTTGCCAGTACGTTGGTACGGGTAGGTGAAGCTCTTCCAAGCCTTCAATGCTGGTGGCTGGCCAAGGGCAAGGATTTCCTCTCGGATCTCTGGGTGTATTTCATCCCCCATTTCAGCGACACTGTGCCACATCGCGTTTGTCAACCCGAGCCAGAGCATGTATGTAGCTCCCATAGCATCAATGGCACTCTCAGCTCCAGTGGCATCAATACTGCGGGGACTCAATAACCAGGAGCTAGAGGGACGCGTAGCAGCTTCATTGATCACGTCGATCGAGTCTAGGAAAGCCTTGTCTTTATCGGTCCCGGCTTTTTTGATAGCATTCCTCATGTCGGATATCGTCTTGTCCACATTGGCCTCAGGGACACCAGCACGGCGAAGCTGGTGATCAATTCGTGGGCCGGGGTCTCCAAAGATAAGGGACCTCGCTGCTCCGTCGACAGCTACACCTTGAAGATAGGCAGTGTCTGCGATGATCTTTGCGGAATCTTTGAAAGCCACGTGTCGATCGGGCCTCCCTGGGTCCTTGACTACATTCTTTTTGAGAATTGATACTGTGCGAGGCACCAAGTCGTGAGGCACACCTGCGCGAGCCAGGGACTTGCTCAACACTTCCGGCCGAACTCCATAGGTTGCAAAGTTTGCAGCTTCTGAGATACATAGCGTCTGCAGACCCCCAGGCTTCCCGCCCCTAAGCATATTAGGAGAAGAGATAGAGGCGCTGGCTGCCATAACTTTTTCTGTAGTAGCCATGTCGCCCTGGACTCCATTGATGACCTCGGCTGCCTGGTCGGCCGATAACCCTTGTAGTTGTAGAACATGTCTCCACTCTTCAACGACATCGACTGCGTTTCGGTCAACTCGTACTTTCCGGCCGGGATGTTTTGGCGGTGTTGGCGGTGGAAGGTCCCCTGGTTCAACAGGGCTGGGCGGCGGCGGCGGCGGCGGTGGTGGTGGCGAAGTAGGCTTTGTCGGTGGTGAAGTCGGCTCTGTCGGTGGCGAAGTCGGCTCTGTCGGTGGCGAAGTCGGCTCTGTCGGTGGCGAAGTCGGCTCTGTTGGTGGTTGAGACGGGTCCGGGGGGTTTCCTGGGCCTCCGCCCCCGCCGCCTCCGCCGCCTCCGCCGCCACCGCCGCCTCCGCCGCCACCTCCGCCGCCACCGCCGCCTCCGCCGCCACCTCCGCGGATCACACCGTCGAGCATTTGGTCTGACCTCGACAATTTGTTTCTCACCCAGTTGAAAATGCCTGGGTCCCTGTGCAACATTGCGGCATATGCTCCAGCCCATCCGAATACCCCAGCACCAGGGATACCAAGACCAAGGCCCAGACCGAGGCCGAGAGCCAGATCGTCATCATCATCCTCTTCTCGCTTAAGGACCTCCGCTAGGTCGGCTATAATGCGGTACGGATCCTCTGTTGGGGTTGCGGTAGGGACAATCTCTGTTGAGGTTCTAGTGGTGGTGCTTTGTGTTGAGGTTCCAGTGATAGAAGACACCCCCGTGGATGATGTTTGCTTGGTAGAAGATGTCTTTGAGGGTTTATTGGTAGAAGAAGTGCCCTCGGATGATGTCTTTGTCTGTGAAGATGTTGCCGAGGTCTTCTTGGTAGAAGAAGCACTCGTGGATGATGTTTCCGTGTGTGAAGATGTTGCCGAGGTTTTCTTGGTAGAAGAAGCACTCGTGGATGATGTTTCCGTTTGTGAAGATGTTGCCGAGGTCTTCTTGGTAGAAGAAGCACTCGTGGATGATGTTTCCGTGTGTGAAGATGTCACTGAAGTTTTCTTGGTAGAAGACATCTTCGTGGACGATGTTTTCCTGTCTGAAGATGTTTCTGAGGGTTCATTGGTGGAAGAGGGCTGGGAGGACGTTAAGCTAGGTGAAGACGTCTTTGACGATTCAGTGGTAGGAGAAGATGAGGGGGTTGTCAGACTCTTTGGTGATGTCGTTGTGGATCCAGGGTTGGTCTTTTTCGTCGACGTTCTGGTGACGGAGGAGGATGAGGGTGACGACGAGGATGTCGGCGTCTGGGATGATCTTGTTGAAGATCCAGTGCTGATCGTATGCGTCGAGGTTTTAGTGATAGTAGAGGTTGATGAGGATGGCAATTGAGTTGAGGATGGTAAGGTCACGGTGGATGTTAAGGTCTTGGTGGATGTGTCTTGCGACGATGTTTCAGAGCTGATAGAGGATGACGACGTCGTCACCTTACTCCAGGATGTTGGGGTTCCGCTAGAGGACGAGGTCGTTTCATGCGATGAGGTTCCAGGGCTAGTAGAGGGCGAGGATGTTGGGGTTCTGGTGGACGTTTTTTGTGATGAGGTTCCAGGGCTGGTAGAGGGCGAGGATGTTGGGGTTTCGGTGGACGTTTTATGCGATGAGGTTCCAGGGCTGGTAGAGGGCGAGGATGTTGGGGTTCTGGTGGACGTTTTTTGTGATGAGGTTCCAGGGCTGGTAGAGGGCGAGGATGTCGGTCCGTGAGAGGATGTTGGGGTTCCGGTGGTAGAATACGACGAGGAAGACGTTGGCTTAGGTGAAGGTGATGAGCTTCTAGTGATGGTAGTGTGCGTTGATAGTGTAGTGGTGGTAGATGGCCAGGATGACGAAGAAGATGTTGAATCGGTTGAAGACGTCGTCTTTGCGGAGCTCGTTGTACTATTTCTCGGACGAGTAGAGGTTTCCGTTGGCACCAAATCACTGCTGCTGCTGCTACTGCTTGTGAGTATAGTGGATGACGTTCCAGGAGACCTCGTGTCCGAGGTGCTTGTTCTTGGTAAGCTTTCCGTCGTGGATGGTGTAGTTCTAACATCACTCGTCTTTGACGGGCTTGTCGTTATCACCGTTGTGGTCCGAACGTCACTGCTGCTGCTGCTGCTGCTGCTGCTGCTTGTGAGTATAGTGGATGACGTTCCAGGAGACCTCGTGTCCGAGGTGCTTGTTCTTGGCACGCTTTCCGTTGTGGATGATGTACTAGTTCTAGTATCACTCGTCTTTGAAGGTTTTGTCGTCGTCACCGTTGTAGTTCGAACATCACTTGTCTTTGAAGGGTCTGAAGTCGTGGCCGTTGTAGTCCGATCGTCACTCGTGCGCGACGGGTCTGAAGTTGTCACCGTTGTGGGAAGGACCGTCGTTGTAGTAGATGGGCTTGGATCCGGAGTTACTGTCACGGTCGTCACCGTTGTGGTCACAACGATTCCTGTCGGTGTGGTGGACGGATTTGGACCCGGATTTACTGTCACAGTCGTCACCGTTGTGGTCACAACGATTCCTGTCGGTGTGGTGGACGGATTTGGACCCGGATTTACTGTCAAAGTCGTCATTGTGGTGGTGGTAACGAAGATTCCTGTCGTTGTAGTGTTTGGGTTTAGATGGCGCTTTGTCATTGGCGTTCTGGTCTCCGTGGAACACAGCTCATCTCTGAAGCGAGAAATCCAATAATCAGGGAGGGCGGTGCGGCAGTGGACGTCGTCACCTTCACAGACACATCCGAATATGTCGGGGTCCGGTGGCGGGGTGGCTTCCGCTTGCCCAACATTGTAATTGTTCCTTCTGGTGTGACACCCGCGATTCAAGGGACCCACGCCTACAGAACAGTCGACTTCGAGGTCGGGAGGCACGTTGTCCACCGCATCGAAGACCGGTGCCGCAAGGATACCTACGGCACCGGCAAAGAGAACAAGAATCGCCTTGTACATTGAGTATATACACAAAACTCTTGATTGAAATCCGAAGACGAAGAATTCAGGGGGTGGTCGGCGATGAGGGTAGGGGAGGTATTGTGGAAAGGAGGTCCAGGCTGCAGGGGAAGAGCAGCCTGAAATATATACAATCGTTACTTGCACCACAAGATTATCTCACGCCTTATTTGTTGTAGATAGTTGCACACTATTTCGTGGAGGAGGACCGGATTTACCGACGGCTTTTATTTAGGTACAAGTTAGCTTCTCGTAAAGAAAGGTTTGGTCACGCTCGTAAAATAATGGCCGCGCGACCAGTCCATCACATTAGTTTAAAATTATGGCACTGAAGCGTCTGCTAAGTCTAACGGAATTACCAGACTAGTTCATGTGGTTTACGTTGTCTCTAGACTCAATAGCCGAGGTTTCCATTTTGGCGTGTGGCTCATTAATCCCTTAGCTAGTTAAGTCTGATATAGGTAATAAAATTAGGACCATAAGATACAGCTTAGTTTGAGGCCGATGGGAAAGCCTCTGGCGTGAATTTCTTAATACGAACAACATTAGTTGCAAAGAGCCTTCAAAAGTGTGGCGTGATACGTGGTCGAGGAAGTTGCAGTATCCAACCTTTAGGCTACGTCGCCAGACACGGCCGCAGTCGCCTCGCCTTTTAGGGCATTTACCGCTTGACTGCCGTCCTTTGGCCCAATCCAGCAGAGTTTGTGATCCCACAATCTTTGGACAGGCAGGGTGATACGAGGTGATACGAGGTGATACGGAGAGAAGGGGCTGGTGGGGGAAGCACACGACAGTCTTCCAGTCTGTCACAAATAATGTGCGTGTGGAGGTATCTCTCAGGCAATTCATTGATGAGCAATGGCATATCAAATGAAAAATGATTTACTAGAGCCTCGCATCCATCCACGTCCCGCATGTGGCTCACTAATCCATCCCTCGCCAGCCTCCTTGGTGCCTAGACCTAACTTCCTCTAGTACAGACCAGAATGTGTGCTTGCATTGGTTTTCTGAACCCGCAGAAGCACCTGCAAGGACAAATCTGCCGCAGAGCCTGAGGGGACCAACAACAGAGAATACACGGTTCCATATTGGCCGGGTTGCCGGGCTTCGCCAGCGGTTGAACCTTTGTGTGATTTCCGTAGGATGGACTTCGTATACTGCAGCATGTTAAAGAACCGTCTGTTCGATCGCTTATCACTAGCGGGGATCCTATTACAGACTAAAGCCAGACGGAACCCCAGAGCCAATGACAAGCGACCCGCACTAACATGGTAAACATCTACTAACGGATAAACCCGTATCACCGCGCCCGATGTTGATCCGTTCTGATCTGCCAGATGTGGCGATAAAAGGGGCGTTTTCCATTGGAAAGTTAATGTTTGGAAACTCATTGGACGCCTGTCCTTTAAAGACGTCATGATCACATTCACTGATGATAACTAGGCGAGCAGTTGAAGCTGGAGGAGACTGTACTGAGGTAGAACTTGAAGAGCTAAGGCATTCGGGCTGGGCAAATGGGTCTCGTTGACCCTCGACCCCTCATGTTAGCCGCGCTTTCGTGCAACATATACTACGTTATCGGCCCAGGCCGATCGCATTCGTGTTCATTAGACTCATAGACATTTGGTTTGCACCACCTCCAGAGACGGACAAATCTTTACCTGGCATTGCCCCCGGTGACAAGCCGGTTGAGCATTCCTATGCTCTAGTTAAGCGATTGCCTATAACGGGCCAAGAGAAAAAGGTTTTATCCGAGGAATGAAAAGGCCAAAGTGGCTCTTCAGTGTCAGTCTCGGCAGATTGAATCCCAGGAGGCAGAGCAATTTGCCATGGTGCTGACCAACGTGTCTGCGCAATGTTTGGATACCGTTATAAGAGCCGAATGAAGTCTGTTTCTTGAGCCAAGCTGGACAAAAATACATCAATTGTCCTATAAAGGGCTTTCAACGCCTTTCACAAGCCTCCAACTATATAACATTTCTTGAACTCGAAGCTCTGAGCTGCTAAGCACCCATATAAAAGATGCTTAAAGGCCATCCGGAGAACCTTCACTTTCAGGTTTCTTGTGAAGCTTACTTCGCTATAACCAGGTCAGTGTTGTGTTGAGGGGGGAAAGATTGTTTTAGGCAGCTTGTGCAAGAAGGAGGAGCCAAGACCACCATCTCGTGACACGCCGATATTTTCATTGATCGGCCGTATCTCGGCTCTACAACAACGTCCTCCCCAGATCCTCTCCACTTCCCCACAACCCCGGTTCTTGGCAACTTGACCACGACGCAACACGGTCTGGCTAACACTAGGCTTCAACATCGTCAACAATAATCCTGTGTGCGGGACTCGTTCCTTGGCATTAACAAAAGTGCTTGGCTTCTGGGATTCGGCAGATTTGGTCGTGGCTTCGGCACATGTGTCGTGATGGTCCTGCTGTCTAGACAGCCAGCCGAATTTCCACGTCCACCGGCAAATCCGGTGTTGTGCTTGGCACATCGTGTGCGCCCCAAAAACTTGGTAATAGCCTCTTCCAACACCCCACCGGTTAATGTTCGGAACTTGTCTAGTGTCGTGACTTACCATTCGATCGTTCAACAAATGGCGAGGTCAGCGATTATCAAAACCGGTGTGTCTTCGTGTCCCAGGCTTGGCTGGACTGACAACATATTTAATCCGGCTCTCGCACTTTGCTCCAGTCCGAGCCTCCTACTAGAGCATCTCATACTTGGAAATGGCTAGGACAATGTACCGGCACGCTCAAGTGGTCCTTACTGCGGCACTGTCAGTTGGCGTGCTTTCCTCTTCAATTTCTCGCCACGATGGAGGCCACCTGGGATATCGACAGACGGACAACCTCCCTGCCATCTACCAGAATGCCTCGTATCCTGTTGACGAGCGAGTCGAGGACCTTCTCCAGCGAATGACTCTCGAGGAGAAGGCTGGTCAATTGTTTCACACCCAACTGAACATGCCTGCCAACTACAGCTTCGTTCAAGGCAGCGCATCCGACGTTCTCATCAGCAAGAACTTGATATCGCATTTCAACCTAGTCGGTAATATCCTGGATGCCGGAAAGGTCGCTGAGTACGTCAATGAAGCTCAGCGGCGAGCTGTTGGTGGGCGCCTTGGGATACCCATCACGTTATCCTCGGACCCACGACACTCCTTCACGGACAACATCGGAACGGGGTTCGAAGCAGGCACCTTCTCGCAGTGGCCCGAGAGTCTGGGTCTTGCTGCCATCCGGGACGCGGAACTGGTCAGGAAATTCGCCGAGACAGCACGTGAAGAGTACTTGGCTGTGGGTCTGCGATCAGCCCTACATCCCCAGGTTGACTTGTCGACGGAACCACGGTGGGCACGGATCGGCGGAACCTGGGGAGAGGATGCAGAACTGACCAGTGAGCTTCTTGTGGCGTACATCGAGGGCTTTCAGGGCGAAGAGTTTGGCTCGCGCTCTGTGACCACGGTCACAAAGCATTTCCCTGGTGGCGGCCCCATGGAGAATGGTGAGGATTCTCATTTCACATACGGGAAGAATCAGACATATCCAGCAGACAACTTCGACCACCACCTCATACCGTTTAAAGCCGCAATTGGTGTCGGTGCCAGGCAGATGATGCCTTACTACTCGAGACCTATTGGCACTCAGTATGACCCCGTTGGCTTTTCCTTCAACCGCCAGATTGTAACAGACCTGCTCCGGGAGGAGCTCGGGTTCCAAGGCATTGTTGTCACAGACTGGGGACTAATCACCGACACCAACATCCTGGGACAGGACATGCCTGCACGAGCGTGGGGTCTAGAGAACACCACCGAGATCGAACGCGTCGTCAGGATCCTAGACGCCGGATGCGACCAATTCGGCGGAGAGAGCCGGACAGAGCTGATTATACAAGCTGTCGAGGAAGGCCTAGTCCTAGAGGAACGCCTTGATACCTCTGTTCGTCGGCTTCTCCGGGAAAAGTTTGTTCTTGGCCTCTTCGAGAACCCTTATGTCGACCCTGAGGCAGCCCAACGCATTGTCGGAAATGCGGACTTTGTGAAACTTGGGAACGACGCGCAGCGCCGAGCCTACACTCTTCTCACGAACCGAGACAATATCCTCCCCATCCAGAACGCCACTCAAGCCAGCTTTTATGTCGAGGGCTTCAACTCAACATACTTGAAGGCCAGAAACCTAACCGTCGTGTCAACTCCCGAAGAAGCCGACTATGCCCTGTTGAGGTACAACGCTCCGTTTGAACCGCGGCCGGGAGGTTTCGAGGCTAGGTATCACGCAGGCTCCCTCGCGTTCAACTCGACGGAGCAGCAACGGCAAGCAGCTATCTACTCCACTGTACCCAGCATTGTGGATGTGAAGCTCGACCGTCCAGCTGTAATTCCCGAGATCGCAGAGCAAGCAGCCGCACTATTTGGGAGTTACGGCAGTGGCCCGGAATCATTTCTGGACGTAGTATTTGGCAAGAGCCAACCGGAGGGTAAGCTTCCATTCGACCTACCTAGGTCCATGGAGGCAGTTGAGGCGAATTTTGAAGATGTTCCCTTTGACACGAAAGATCCGGTCTTCAAATTCGGAGACGGACTTCGTTATTAAATTGGGCGGGGAAAGAGGCGGGCGTCCTGTAGACGATTCTTGGGATTAAACAGTAAATACGTATTCTTGGAATCACCAAGTAAACATTCCAACCATAATGAGCCTGTTTGGCCTTCGGTCTTTTTTCGCTGAATCCTCGGGCACTCGCTGCCTTGTTGTAGATACAGCCAATTTGCGTAGACCTCATCCCCAATGATGGGGTTCGCTTTCCCCAACCTTGTACAGGCTGCTCATGATGAACCCAGATACTGAGTAATAAGAGTGCGTTTCTGCGATTGGGTGGACCAAATTGACGAGCTTGTTACGAAGAATCTCAATGAGAATCAGAGAAATATATTCGGAGACTATAAGACTCGGAGGCGTGATTGGGGCTGGGTGGAGCGCTGGATGATTCCTCAGCCCTCAACTCATAGCTGTCCTGTATCTTCAATTGAGGACCACGTGGGAGCCATGATAACCTTGAACAACAATCATAGAACATGCTTAAACAAAGGTGACTTATCACCCATATCAAGCAGTTCGTCTTCGGTGTACCTCGCCCGTACCTCCGCCTCCGACATTCTCGCCTTGCGGGCATTTGTCCACTTGTATATCATCTCCAGCAGGAAGGACACCAACAAACCCGTAGCACCAAATGAGAGGCCGAGGCCGAAGCCAGTGTAGTATTGTGGGCTCTCCTTGTCGATGAACATGAAGCTTCCGACGATGCCGCCACAGTTGCCTGCTGCATTCATGAGGGCCACACCAATGCTTCGCCTCGTCGCAGGAGCGAGGTTGTTGGCGTTCCAAGCGGCAGCAGCCGGCTGGATGGGATAGATTCCTGCACAGACGAGGCAGACTGCGAAATAGGCCGCGCCCAAATTCGCGGACAGGGCACCGTGGAAAGAAATAATGACGGCGTAGGCAATAACGAGCATTGACATGGGGATGGCAACGAACGGCATCCGCCAGTAAAAGTGGTCAGATAAGCGAGCGAATCCGATGGACGAGATGGCGCCGACGACGTATGGGGGAGCGGACATGAGTTGAGCGTTGGTCGTCGAGAAACCCATAACCTTGGTGATGGTAGGCATGGTGAATTTAGTACCTAGGTCTTTCTTAGTATGACAAATTGCTTTGCATTGGGCGTGACGGATCTTCCATATCTTACCGTAGGAAGTCGCTGACTGGCAGAACAAGAACCAGGCCTGCAGGTACAGGCGCCAGTTCATCAGGACGATCTTGAGGTCCCTCATCTTGAACCCAGACTCCTCGTGGAACTTGCCACCCTGCTTGATGAAGATCTGAAGCTCGAGGAACCGGATCTCATCCGGGTCAAGCCATCGTGTTCCACGCTTGGGGGAGTCGATTAAGCAGAAGAAGCAGGCGACGCCAAGTATGACTGTGATGATTCCTTCGACTGTGATTTGGTTGATGGTAAGTCTTGGTTTCATTCCCCAGGGTAGACATGGCAATATTAAAACCACACATTACGTACGGATAAAGATCCACCGCCACCCGCTGTATCCGCCCGTTCCATCCATTTTTGCGATACCGGCCGCGAGGAGGCCGGAGAACGCACCGGATAATGCACTAGCACAGTAGAAGTAGGAGATGCGAGTGGCCAAGTTCTTCGGCATGTACCAGTAGGAGCACAGATAAATCGCGCCGGCTGTTTGGTATAGAAGTCAGCGATTGGAGAGCCAGAGGTCTTCGATGAAGGCTTGGACTTGTTCGGTCGAGGCCGATGGTGGTTGAACGCAAGAGGGATAAACTTATACATACGGAAGAAACCAGCCCTGTTTGAATTCGATGGTTAGTTGGGGAGCTCAAGTAACGCCGACAGAACAATCCAGATGCACTCACTCAAAGACGCCAAGTAGGATGCGTGTGGTCATGAGACCCCCATAATTTTTGACAACGCCAGTAAGAGTCATAATGACACCCCATATGGTGATAAGAGTGCCCAGGTACCACGAAGGGCGGCCCCATTTCTTCAGGAGAATGTTGCTGGGCACCTCAAATAGCACATAAGGTATAAAGAACACGGCCAGGATTGTGTTGTATTGCACTCCGGTCATACCAAGCTCTTCCACCATGCCTTCGATTTTGGCGTTGCCGATGTTGGCTCGGTCGATGTGTGCGATGAGATACAAGACTGCTAGCATTGGAACGAGCCGAATATCGACCTGCGAGGTTGCTTTGTTAATGCTCGTTGCGGGAGTGGCTTCGAGGACCGGGAAGCAGCAGGCTCTTTGCTCACCTTGCGCAAGACCTTCTTCCTCCTCTCTGCAGAAAAGTTATTATAAAAGTCTGCATCGTCGGGGGACAGTCCAAGGACTCTGAAGCCGTCAATCTCAATCACTTGAGGGGCACCGTCGAGGTTCTCAACATGGCCCAAGGCCGCCTCCTTGTCCAACGATGATTTGGGAGACATTGTGAACACCGATCCGAGCAGCTCAAAAGGGTGAAAGATCGAGATGGAAAGGACTTCGGCTGGTCCAAAAACCCAAGAACTGCATGAAGACGCGATGGGTATAATGACCTTTTATTACTTTGGCCCACGCGGCTGGGTTCCGGGTGGGTACACGTTCAGCTCCGCAAAACACTGATAAGGGGATCCGGGGAAAGTCTGGGGGAGATGTCGAAGGAGCCTTGGCTTTTGCGGGGAACCTTGCCTTCTCCAGCAACAAACGAATTCCCCAGGCTCTGTTGGGACGGCAGGATAATCACACTCGCGACGTGAAACTCCACTGGGCCCGGGGTTTCGACTCGAGGCGGTTAGTTCAGCCCACACCCGCTGCTGTCAGAAGTGGAGGTGTTGAGCAGAAAAGGGGTCCCAAAGGTGAGCATGACTGCAGATGGCGGCGAGAATGATGCCACTCTAATCGCGCCACGGATCTTTAAACCCCGACCAGTTCCCTTGGCTGCTTGGAGCCGGTTGGCTCAAACCCCTCTCCCCGTCTGCAGATGTCCCGGTCCTGCTTTTCCGGCGTTCTGTTTCCGCCCTCGTTTTCCGGCATCGCTTTTCCGTCACCTTCTGCCCAACAGTGACGGCGTGACGGCTAAACGCGTTGGTTGCTCTTGGCATCGTCAACAAGCACGGATACACCTCCCACACAGATGTTGACTCAAGCCTTTAGTTGAGTTGTGTTTCGTACTCGAGGGTGGTGCGACAGAAGACCTACCTACCATCCGGTTCTATAAACTCCAAATCACCAACAACAGGTCGCCACGGGAGCAATGACTCACGAGAACGAAAAGAATGGCTCGGCGCCTGCCTTGTCAAACAAAACGGTGATCGAGAATATTGTCATTACTCCTGTCGCCTTCCACGACATGCCCTTACTGAACAGCGTTGGTGTCCACGAACCCTTTGCACTGAGGAGTATTGTCGAAGTCATCATTGGCAATGGCACATACGGCCTTGGGGAATCATATGGCGACCTTGCCCATCTGAATCGGATGCGAGAAGCAGCCACCAAGATCAGAGGCTTGGAGGTCCACAATACAAATGCTGTTTACCAAGCTGTTGTAGACTCGCTCGCCTCGGACAGCAGCACCGGCGGGGATGGCATGAGCGGGATGGTGACAGGAACGTCGACAGCCGCCAAGGTCTTCTCCCCGTTTGAGGTCGCCTGCCTCGATGTCCAAGGCAAGCTGGCCGGTGTCCCCGTTTGCGACCTGCTAGGTGGGCGCGTGAGGGACCGCGTACAATACTCTGCGTATCTCTTCTATAAGTGGGCTGGACATCCGGGCCAGCCTGATGATGAGTACGGCCCAGCTCTCGATCCCGCGGGGCTGATTAAACAAGCCCACAAGATAATCAACGAGTATGGCTTCAAGGCTGTAAAGCTAAAAGGCGGCGTGTTCCCCCCGAAAGACGAGGTGGAGGCCATCAAGGCTCTGCGCGCCGAGTTCCCTGATTTGCCACTGAGACTTGACCCCAACGCTGCATGGACGGTCGAGACGTCCAAGTGGGTTGCGAGAGAGTTGGACGGGATGCTCGAGTATCTCGAGGACCCAGCCCCCGAGATTGAGGGTATGGCTGCCGTGGCCAAGGAGGCAAACATGCCGCTCGCAACGAACATGGCCGTTGTCTCATTTGCTCATCTCCCGCCCTCCATCGCACAAGACGCAGTCCAAATCGTACTGTCAGACCACCACTTCTGGGGTGGACTGCGTCAGTCCAAGGCGCTGGCGAGCATCTGTGCCACCTGGGGGATGCGATTGTCGATGCATTCAAACAGTCACTTGGGAATATCTTTGGCAGCTAGTAAGTCTCTCCTTGAAGCTATATGCACCGTCTCCCGGACAAGCCCCTGCTTTATGCTATGACCTGGCTTGCATCGAATTCTAGGACACAAAAGTTGCGGTTTATTTCCGAATATACCGCATGTCCATTTCATTCCCCCTTACCCCGCGACACCGTGGATGCTAACTGCGCATGGCTCAGTGACACATCTGGCTTCTACGACACCAAATCTAGACTATGCATGCGACACACACTGGCCGTGGAAACGCCGCGATGAGGATGTCATAGTTCCCGGAACACTCAAATGGGAGGACGGAGGTGTTCGAGTAACAACTACACCGGGCCTTGGGGTTGAACTCGACAGGGAGAGACTGGCATCTTTACACCAGCAATATCTGGACTGCGGATTGAAGAAAAGAGATGACACAACTTATATGCAGAAATTCCAGCCGGAATTCTCCAGTAAAATTCCGCGGTGGTAAATCACTTCCAAAATTGCTACAAGTGTTAAATCGAGGCTACATTTTGGGATGTTACAGTTGTTTAGAAAGGCTCGGTCGATATGCCAAGGGAGATTGCTATTCTAAATTGGATGGGACTATAGACAATCAAACTGCTTAAGATCCCAGGCATTACACAACAAAACCTATTTGCGTGTCTCTTCACTTAATCCTTCTTGGAATGCGTGGAATTAAAACAAAATGCTGGCGTGTCGGCTACAGATTAAGGCAACCCTTTGACAGTCCTAGGGATACGACCAAGAAGTTTTCCAAGACATCAGCCCATAACTATCTCGAGAGAATCACCACCGCAGGGCCGAGCTGGACGAGATCAAGTAGCGCTACCTGGCATTAACTAATCTAATATTCCTACTTCTTTATCGGACCTGAGATTTGCCGAGTATAGCCGCCCTCCAGCTGACGGTTGCAGTGTGTTCACCGGGGTCAGAGACCACTCTCCAGTTTCCATTCACTTGAGAGAACGGATATTCACAAAGCAAAAAACGGATGGTACAAAGGTATAATATAAAGCCCCTAGTGCATGAATTACACCCATTAATTTATATACCTATTTCGCAAGCTTAAATTACACCCTTAATTTATATGCTTAAGTTATATATTTAATTTATATACCTATTTCGCAAGCTTAAATTACACCCTTAATTTATATGCTTAAGTTATATATTTAAGTTATATATATATTTCATATCCTTAATTTATATTATATAAATATTTTTATAAAACTTATAATAGCTATTCTTTAAAAATAAAAAAGTAAGAAAATAATAAGAATATGTGTGAAAGAGGTTTACCCTTGTTTACTTGCTTTGCTTGCTTACTTTAACGAACTTTCTTTGCACGGGCAGCTTTATCTTATTTCTCATTTCTTATTACTTTTCTTATTACTTTTCTTATTACTTTTCTTATTACTTTTCTTATTACTTTTCTTATTACTTTTCTTATTACTTTTCTTATTACTTTTCTTATCTTAGCTTACCTTATATATAAAATAAAGAAAAGTTAATAAAAAGATTTAATTTTAAATATTTAATTATTATTAATGTTTATATAAAAAGCTATAAAAATGTTTAATATTTTGCTTTTTTATTTTATTTAACTTTTAATTTAATATAAGGTTTTAAAATATATAATTAACATAGTGCATTATTTAGTGAAATAAATTACTTAGCGGGATACTTTTTGTTAGTTTATTAACTTTTATCAACCCCAGCACCTACTTAATGCAATTAATTTAATAAATGTTAGCATTAATTAATATTAATTGCTTTTAATTCCTTATTTTTAATTAATTTTATTAATTTAAAGTAATGATAAGGTTGCAATGCAGGTTTAAAAACTTAAGGTTTTAATAAGCAGGTTTATATTTAATAAAAATCGCATCCCTGTTTTTTATTTTAATTTTACATTATTTTACTTATTTAATTATTTAATGCATTAAAAATTAATATTTATTATATTAATTTACTTAAAAAGAAATAAAATCATTTTAATTCTTTAAGCAATAAAGAAATTTAAAAAAAACTATAACGTAGTTTATTAATAAATAATATATATTAATAAATAGCATACTTTTATAACTTTCGCTAACTTTAATACTTATTTAATGTAAATAATTTAATTAAATTTAGCATTAATTAATGCTAATTATAATTAAATTTTTATTTTTAATTAATTTACTTAATTTAAAGTAATATAAATAATTATAGCTTAAATAAAAATAATTAAGTTTTAATAAAAAGATTATGTTTTAATAAGAATTATATTAATGCTTTTTATATTAATTTCTTATTTATTTATTTATTTAAATATTTAATATATTAAAAATAAATAATTATAATATTAAAACCTTTTAAAAAAGATAAAATACTTTTAGCTATTTAAGTAATTAAAAACTTTTAAGAAAAATGCATTAAACCTTTTAAATTATATAAAGTTATATAAATTTTTAATATTTTTAAAATTATATTTTATTATAAAATAAATTAATAAAGCTTTTATAAAAAATTATATATTAATATATATAAATTTAATTAAATTAAAAAGTAAATACTTATTTAATATATTATTAATTAAGATATTTAAGAATTTCCTTTATAACTTTTTAATATAAAAAATATAATTAACTTTTTATTAATATTATAAAATGCTAAATTTATTAATAAATATTAAACTTAATGCTTTATAAATTAATAACTTAGCTTTAAAATTAAGTTTAATTATCTTTATAATTATTAAAAGGCTATTTATAAAAATTTAAAGATTATTAAAAATTAATTTAAATTACTTTATAATATAATAATTAAATATTAAATTATTAATAATAATTTTTATAACTTTAATAAAATTAACTTTATTATAAATATAATTAATTTATTAATAATTATTATATATATTAATAAGTATAAAAAAGTTAAATTAATTTAACTTAATAATTAAAAATAAATAATTATTATTAAATATATTAATATAAATAAATTATAAATTTTATTATTTATAATTATTTAAAGTATTTATTATTTTATTAATTAAATAATAAAGTTAAGCTTTTTAAATAATTAAATTATTAAGTTTACTTTTAATAAATAAATAAATAGTAAAATTAATTTAAAATAAATTTAATATTTTAATAAATATATTAAATTAAAGAAAAATATTAATTATTAAATATTAATTATAAATAATAATAAAAGTTATATATTAATTAAGTTTAATTAATATTATAAAAATAATAAAATTATTATTATTAATATATTATTATATTTATTTTACTTATTTTAATTATTAAATATTATATTATATTTATTTTTAAAGTATATATATAATAATAAAATTAATCTTTTTATTTAAGCCTTTATTAATTATATTATTAAATTTAAGTTTTTTTTTATATTTAAAGTAACTTATAATAAAACTTTTATAATAAAAAATATTAAGTTTATATTTAAAAAAGTTAAAATTTCTTTTTAAAACCTTAATTCTATAATTTTTAAGCTTAATATTTACTTATAAACTTTAATATAATTTCTTTTTATTTTTTCTTAAAAATAAAAGTTTAAAATATTATTAAATATTTAATAAATTATTTAATAATTAAATATTATTAAAAATAAGATTTTTATTTATTAAAAAAGCTTTTTTATATTAATTATAAAGGTTATTAATTAATTAATAAAGAATATATAAATAATAATATATTTATTTATTATAATAAATAAATAAATTTATATACTTTAAAATATTAATATAATATTTATTAAATATTAAAGAATTAAAAAAACTTAAGTATAATTTAAAAAAATACTTATAATTAAGAAATTTTAAGCTTTTATTTAAAAGAAATAAAAAGTAAAGTAATTAATTAATAAAATATATAATAAAATAAAAGCGTTAATTTATAATAAATTAATTAAAAAATATTATAATAATTAAATTAAAATTAAATATAATATAAAAACTTATAAAAAAGATAAAAAAATATTTAATTAATTAAATTTTAATTATATTATAATAAATATAGCTTAATTAATATTAATTAATATAAATATAGCTATTTTATTAATTTATAATAAATTATATTTTTAAGAATATAATTAATATTAAATAATATTAAATATATCTTTTTTATTAAAAGTTAATTAATTTAAATTAATATTATAATTATATTAATGCCTTTAAATTAATAAAATTAACGAAAGTTATAAAAGTTCGCTATTTATTAATATATATTACTTATTAATAAACTACGTTAAATAACTTATAAATATATATAAAGTTATATAAATCTTTTTTATTCCTTATAATATATTATTAGCTAAGATAAATAATTAACTTTATTATAAGAAAATATATATTAATAATTATAAACTTAAATTAATTAAGAAATAAATACTTATTTAATATATTATTAATTAAAATATATAAGGTTTTTTAATATATATTTTTAATATAAAAATGTAATTAACCTTATATTATTATTATATAATAATAAGCTTATTAATAAGTATTAAACTTAATGCTTTATAAATATATAACTTAACTTAAAAACTTAATTTAATTATTTTTATAATTATTAAAGAGTGCTTTATAAAGATTTAAAAATTATTAAAAATTAATTTAAGTTCTTTTATAATATAATAATTAAGTATAAAATTATAAATAATAACTTATATAACTTTAATAAGATTAACTTTATAATAAGTATATTAATTATATTAATAATTATTATATGCATTAATAAATATAAAAAGGTTATATTAATATAACTTAAAAATTAAAAATAAATAATAATTATTAAATGCATTAATATAAAGAGTTAATATATCTTGTTATTTATAATTATTTAAAGAGCTTATTATTTTATAAGCTAAGTTATAAAGTTAAGTTTCTTAAAAGATTAAGTTATTAAGCTTACTTTAAATAAATAATTAATTAATTAAATTAATTTAAAATAAGCTTAATACTTTAAAAAGTATATAAGATAATAAATAAAGAATAAATATTAAATACTTGTCTTAAATAAATATAAGAGTTATATATTAATAAATTTTAAGAATTATTATAAGATAAATAATATTATTATTATTAATATGCTATTATATTTATCTTAGTTACTTTAATTATTAAATATTATGTTATATTTATCTTTAAAGTATATATATAGCAATTAAATTAATTTCTTTATTT